ATCTTCAGGAGATATGTTTGTTGTATTTGAGTTGCTTATGATATCGCGAACTTTGGTGATGTTGTCTGATTCCTTGGTGTTTTCAAGATCAAATAAGATGGCATTTGGACATTTCTGTTCACATTCCATGATGTCTCTGATGAGTAAGGGGATATTATTTGTGGAAATATTTGATGGGATAGTAATTGTTTGTGGCTGTGGTTTGGTGGTTATTTTTGGTTGTAGTTGTGATTGTAGTTGAGATAGTGGTTGTGGTAGTTGTGGGATTTGATTTTGAGCTGATAGGTAATCACTTATCTGTGCTGTATTTTTTTTCAAGAGAGATTAGGCTTGCTTGTACAGTTGTTTCAAAACGTATTGCTAAGCGTTCCTCTGTTGAGTGAATGAGTGATTCTATGCTTTCAACTTTGTCAGGCAGGGTACTCAGTTTGTTTAGCTTAGGAAAACATGATGAACATAGACAAAAGAATGTATCTGAATTTTTAATAATATCAGCTAGGCTTTTGTTTGCATTTAAGCAGGCAGGGTGGGCTTGATTGTTGCATAGGCGGCATTTGATGTTAATTTTGCTTTCATTGATGGTTTCAAGACATCAGAAACATGTGCAAGAGTCTGGGAGGTCATTGGTAGATATATTTTTCTTTTGTTTTGGTTTGGAGTTTTTGGCTGGCATGGTCAATGGCAATAGTACACTAAACAATTACAATAGCTAGTTAATGTGATAGGTAGACAGTTACTTAATGAATGTTGGTAATTAATAAATGTTAATTGATATGTTAGAGAACAAATCAAAAGTAAGGTTACTTATTACTAAAAATCAATCAATCAATTATTCAAATCACTCTAATCAAATAATTTTGCTAAGCAACAAACAGCCTAATTAATTACATTAAACATTAATCACACTGGTCAATTAAATTCACTAAATCACTGATTTTACTAATCAGATATTCAGTAATCACACTATATGAACTAAACACTCTAATCACAATAAACAATAAAAACAATAAATCAATTAATCACTTGATTAAAAATTAATTATTTTAAAGAAATTGATTTGGAGACATCATTATCTAATCTTTGATATTGGTCTTGAGGTAGAAAGTTATAAGTTTTGAGATAATGAAAGTAATGAATTAGTATTGAGAGTCAGAAAGTAAAGGGTTATTGCTTTGCTCGTTGTTGTTGATATCTGAGAATAGGTTTATAACCCCTAATAAACTGGCCGGAAGCCTCTTTTCCTGGGCTGGAGAAATAGCAGTTTCTTTGTGTCAAACAGGTTTTAAAACGTGAACAGAGGAAATGTTTCCAAGTCCTACTCAAGCTGTTTTCCTCTTTCCTCTTGAAAACAATCAGTGAGCAAGGGTTTACACTCTCTTTCTTGTTTTGTAAATTGAGTTTTTGAGATAGCAAAGATGCAAAGATGCTGAAGGGGTGGAATCTCTGGCCACTTCTCTTTGAATTTAAAAAAGTTTGTGGCTCAGAGAGAGAAAAGAATTCAGGGAGAGAATTCGGGCAATCTGATTACTTATAACCTTGTTTTGATTTATTGCAGCTGTTATCTGATCCGCTGGGGACACTCGTAAAAACTGTAGGTATGGAACACGCTGAAATAAGAGCAAAATACACAGTTGACCCTGATCAAGAAAGGACTGAAAAACTCGTTAAAGACTTGGTCTCTCTATCCTACCTCCTTGTTTCTCCCTGCCAGCTGTCCGATGTGGCTCGGGATAAATTGTGTGGGGCATATTAATGGAGACACGTTGTCTGGCATGAAAGATACTTCAATCAGCTGTGTGGGGGATTTAAATGAAGGTGTGTTGTTTGCGCTCCACTGGCTCCAAGTGATCCAGTTCAAGAGC